CGATTTTCCGATTCAGTATGTCATGTTTACCTATGGACCGATGTTTGAGTGGGTGTAGAACGAAATTCGTCCAAAGAGGCGCATTTCAACTTTCTCCCATTGACTTATACCTAATGGAGCAGTCGCAAAATTGACGTGACCTTAGGTCACAGACATACAAAATCCGAGGTATCCATTTTATACACACTATTACCCTAAGCAATCACTGAAAGTTTTAAAGTCCGCTCAGTCGGTGTAGCTACAGCCGACAGCGAGCTTTCGATTTTTTTTTCTGAGGTAAGGTCACTTGACGTTACGGTGTCCTGACCGTCACCGTTTTTTTTTTTATTCGCGAAAAACCTGAGAGGGAAGGGTGTAAAACGCCCACCTCCCCCCCCCCCCCAGCATGGCGCGGGTGGTCGACATAGCGACTCGGACTGAACAAATGCCTTTAACGTTTAAACGGTTGAATGAGGTGAGAGGATTGAGGTAGGCTTGAATCGGATTTTCTTCTGCTTGTCGGTAGTTTAGGTTGAAGTTAATTTCGCGAGCTGTCCATAATCATTTAACAGGGAAAATTCAGCTGCACATCGTTCGGGTCAAAGTAATACCAAACATTCTCAAATTTTGTAGTAAAGAGCCAGTAGTTTACGAATATATTCAAAAAACAAATAGAAAAAGAATAAGCGGACCGGTTTCGTCTATCAAAGACTTCTTCGGCGCTTTTTCAAAAAAAGTATAAGAAAAAAAATAGCACAGTGACAATCGTTTGAAATAAAATTGGATTCAGTAAGAACTAAGAACTTCATTGTCCGAAAACCGCTGACAGTTGATAGCTCAATGACACTTAGAGCCGTGCATAAGGAGGCGTGAAAACATTCTCCTCATCTCGTTCTATTACGAGAGGACCATGTCATGGCGTGAGAAAGGTGTTCTCAAAATAAATGACACTATATGAGTGAATAAATAATCCGCGCCCCTTGGGCTATTGGCGGACCCTACCACCTGATCGGGTGGTGCAGCCGTTTCGCCTTCCACCTGAGATCTCGGAAAGTTACCGACCGATTTTGAACATTCAAAGAGCGTTCGATAGCCCCACCAGGGAACTACCTTGCTACCAGGTTTTGTTGACCTAGGTGCAACCCATGACGTCACAAGTCAGGTCAAAGGTCGCATTTTTTCACCGATTTAGTCTAAGGAATGTGTTACAGTCAGTTAACACATCAAATAAAAGGCATGTAATCGAAAAACATCGATGGATCGCTGGTTGTCTAATACATATGTTGCCTAAAGAGGTCGTTGATGCCAGGTCAGTTCACAGAGGTCAGGTCACTAAGGGTTACAATATGAACCCAATGTATGCTAGGGTCATGTGATACATGTTTTATGGACAATTTTACAATTATAATTAAATGGTGTGGGCTAGACGGCCATTGGGGCCATTTTAGATTGCATTCTGGTGAAGGCCAGGTCAAGGTCAGGTCAAAGAAGGTCAAATTTGAAAGTTGATATGTTGCATAAAAGGGGTATCTATTCGATGCAACTCATCACAGGAAATCCAATGGTGGTCTTTGGCTTGCTCTGTGTGTTCTGTGACGGCTAAAAATTGAATTTGAAAAATTTTACGTAATAAATTTCGAGTAGTTTTTTTTTGGCCATAACTTTGCGAAAAATGGAGGTAACGAGTTTAGGTAAGTTTGGCATATCTAGAGCTGATAGTTCTATAACATAGGTATATTTCAGTTTTAATTTTGAAAGTTGTTGGTATTTTCAGGGTGTTTACTTCTATAGTTTTGATGGTCAAAATCAATTTTTGTTTGGAAATAAGAGTTAGCAGTTTGGTAGCGCTGTTTATTTTACATCTTTTTGATTTTGAATATTTTTCGTTATCTTCAAAACTGTAAGCGTGACAGCTCTTCCCGCTAAACCTTTTATTGGGTCAAAAATGACAGAACATGACATCCCTCTGACGTCATTTGTGACTAACCTTTCATAAGAGCTCTGGAAAAATTTTGTCACAATGTGTAAAAATGATGCCCGGAGGGGTCTTGAAAGTTTGGTGGCGACATTTGCTATACTTTAGGAGATATCGACTGAAAAGGAGAGAGGGGGGCATTTCGCGCCGCCCTTTCCCCCCCCCCCCTCAACGGGGCTTTCAGTTGCTGCTCTCACAGAACTATTGGTAATATTACAACGTAGTGGAATTGCAAGTGGCAATATAAGCTTCCTGCCAGCGCCGGACCAGAGTTTAACCCTATTCCTGGCGGGCTCCGCCGGGACAAGAAACTGGCGGGGGGGGGGGGGCCGATTCGGCCCCCCCTGAGATCTCGAGAACGAAGCAAGATAGCGACAAGCGGTAAACGGCATCGGATACGCACGGTCAAGATCTACAATTTTTACTAAGGTCATTTTCAGGTCAGGTCAAAGATGACGTCACAGGGGTCGAAAAACTCAAAATGGCGGCGCTAGATATAGAGAGAGTTTTTCTCGAATAACTTTCGAATTAGTCAAGATAGGAACAAACTAAGGGCATCATCGTGATCCTCTCGTCAATCCGCATCGAATGATATATATGTTGACCTCGAAAGGTCAAGGTCAAAGGTTGACCTCAGGTCACGTGAGCTCGAGGTCATCATGTATATCATTCGATGCGTCTTGACGAGCTGAACACAATGAGACCATCCACGCGTCTGTATCTTGTTCCTGTACGGAGTTATTGGCCAAAAACCTTTGGTGACCTTTGATGACGTCACATGACCTCACAGCTGCCCAACAGCAAAACAGACCTCAAGGTAGTGAAGGTTGATCGTATATGAAGTCATGTATGGTATATGGGGCCATTCCGACCCGTTTTAGTGGTAAAAACAGGGAGTTGATTTTTCCCCCATTGACTTATAATGGGGAGGTCGCGAAACTGACCTGACCTTAGGTCACCGATATCAAAATTCCGAGATATACAAATTGCACATACTGGTACCCTAACTAAAGCCTGAAGAGAAGAAATTGATCGGTCAAAAACTCTAGCTCTGGCGTGATTGCAAACTTTTCTGAGGTAGGGTCACCAAACCGCCTCTGGTGACCTGACCTGAGGTCAGATCAACTCAAAATTTTCAGACATGTTGCGTAGAAGCCTTTTAGGAAAAGTCAGAAAATTTGAGCTTCCTAGCTCAACGCGTTTGGGAGAAATAACCAAAAAACCTCAGGGGGGGGGCTCCTGAGGCCCCCCCCCCCCCCGCCAGGAATAGGGTTAAACATGCAGGCTGAATTTTAACATTTAAATTTTGAATTTTTAAACAGTTGAGCTTTTTAGAAGTTGCCTATGAACTGTTCAGCTCCTTTTGTGGTCCATCACAGCGGGCTTGTATGTCATTTGTCAACCAAAATCGAATTAAAAACTTTTTATTTGGTCTGGCTACCTCGCCATTCGCCAACTTCTTAACTGGATCGTTTAGTAGCTTTTGATTGGGCACTGCCCACGTTTTCTGTCTAGCTTTTCATGTCATAGACACTGTCTATGACACGAGAAGAGGCTGCTGACATCGTTTGCCGCGGTTGGATAATACCAATCCACGTCCCAGTGGCTGCTCGATCGCACTTTCCCTGGCCCACCTCTCCCACCAGGCTAGACTTTGCCCGGCACAGCCGTCGCCTCGGTGCCTTGGGCGGTGACCCGTTCAAAGGGGCTCACAATTCGTATGGTGCCGTGGCTCTCAAACCAATACAGAACAGTGAAACGCAAAGGCTCACTTTCCATATAAGGCGAACGGCTGATTCTGGCGCCGGGGCTTCATTCATGTTAAGGCGCCCAATCACAGCGCCGCATTTCAGTTAGTGTCGGGTGCAAAAGCTACTATGCTCCGCCCCTCCATCACGTGACCCTGCCCTCACGTGGCCTCAGTCACGTGGTGTTTCCACTTCTTGGCGCATGACGGCGCTAGTCTCGCAGGGGCGGTGGTAGCTTGCTCCCCCGCCGTCCGGGGGTGATGGGTAGCAACTGCTGGTGACTGTACCTAGTGTAACAAACTAGATATAAGCACTTAGCAGAGCAGACATAACACAAAGGTTTTCCAACCAAGGAGAGGCACTAGGTACCTATACCAGGAGATGCTTCTTTCTAACAAGACCAAAACAAACCTAACCTAATCCACAAGGGTCATTTCACTCTTTTGCACTCTTTTAAAACTGAAGAAATTCACAAAACAAAATAATGATAAGAAAGAATACATCCTTCTAAGGTAGAAAAGTGAGATCATACATAGATAGGTAATTATGATGCTTTTTACACAAAACAAATGTAAGTTAGTTACACCCAACCTCTCATTGAGTCAGGTAAGGTTATGTGGTATATAAGTAATTTAGGTTGTAGGTTAGGTTCTACATAGATTGGTAGGTTGTAGGTTGGTAGGTTGTAGGTTGGTAGGTTGTAGGTGGGTAGGTTGTAGGTTGGTAGGTTGTAGGTTGGTACGTTGTAGGTTGGTAGCCTGGTAGGCAATTGTAGCTGTAGGCTGGTAGGTTGGGTTTAGGCTTAGGTTTATTCAGATGCGCTGCTGTGGACAAATATGCCTACTTGGTGACCACATCAGAGGGGTGTTCACGGGCACCGCACACTGCTGCGTGCGCTGTGTGCGGTGCGTCCAGCAGGCGTGGGGGTAGGGGATGGGTAGGCGGCTCTGACGTCACGGCTGCGTGCGGTGGACGGTCCGCTGTGTGCGGTGACGGAAGGCTGACGTAGGGACGAAGTGGGCGGAGCATCGAGGCTGTGTGCGGTCTGACCGCACACAGGGCCCGTGAACAGCCCTCAGGTAAAATGCATCAGCATGCTGCATTACTGGGCAATTTTAGTGGCTAAAAACCAAAAATAGCCATGCAATTTCAATTTGCATAGCAATAGTGTGCAGCAAGGAAAATGCCTGGACGCTTATACCTGACCTTGTTCTTTGAAAAATACACAAATATATATCATCTAAAACTTAGACTGAAAGCCTAAAAATAAATGAACATCTCCATCGACCATCACCTACCTGCAAAAATAACCTGGAGACTCTCCGCCACGGTATATAGAGATCTCTCCGCAACTGTTCTATATACCCTGCCGCCAACACCTTATAGGTATCTATATCCTTATAGGTATCAAAATGGTTCTTATAGGTATCTCAATCTTGCCCGACACCACCTCCCGCATTCACGGCCGTAGTGAGTGTCGGCTGTTGTTGTTTGTGCACGTTTCAAGCAAGTTCTAAAAAGACTCGCCAGAAAAGGGTGAGGAATATTGATGACGTCACCAATATAACAAATTGGCATAAATAAAACAAATTTTCTTTGATTAGCCTCTCTTTTGCATGAATATCGTTTCCTATTTGTATTTCAAAAAATGAGTGTGTGAATTTTTCCTAGCGAAAAATATCCCAAATGTGCGTGCTCTGTTTGAAATAATAAAGAAACTTTATTATAATGACGTCAGATGTCTAAGCGTGAGAGTAAATTGTACTACTGGTACTACCACTTGCTGATTTGTCATCTCTGCGCAGGATTTGTTTGCTTATGCTTATCTATTGTTGATATATTGCATCTATTGTGGTCTCAGAGTAGGTGTGTAGTGTGTACTGTGTATAATTTTTGATATTTGTATTGCTAGGCATGTGGGTGAGTTTTCATGCAGATGTTATTTCTGATTTCGGGACATATTTCATGTAGGGTTGGTATTTTTATGATTTGAATTGGTGAGGTCCTGAAATATTGACCAGGGGCCCCAGGCAACCAGGGGCCCCCATATGACCAGGCCCTGCTACCACAACCAGGGGCCCCCTTGGCGACTAGGGGCCCCAGGCGATCAGGGGCCCCATCACCCATGCGACTAGAGGCCCCCCGGCTACCAGGGCTCCCTAGGCGACTAGGGACCCCAGGCAATCAGGGGCCCCATGCGACCAGGCCCCGGCTACCAGGGATCCCCTAGGCGACCAGGGGCCCAGGAAACCGGGGGCCCTTGGATGACTGCAGGGCCCATTGGGTCATCAGGGGCCTCTCATGTAACCAGGGGCATATAAATGAAACTTTGATATCATTTTTTCTTCCTAGTAAAAGATGTTTTATCCAGTGTTTGAAAAAAATATACTGGGGCCTGAGGGGCCCCCTGAGCGCCTTCGGCACTCAGGAGGGGTCCATGGCCCCCATGGCCCCCCCTTGGGTACGTCACTGGAGGTGGCCCATTGATTCCTTCTGAATCAGCTATTCGGGCTCAATCCTCATTCCTTCCCATTGACTTGGACTGGCTGAAAATCAATGGGTTTACATGCAGTATGCATGTGGCATCCTGTGGCAAACTAGACCAGCTACATGCTGAATTCAAAATGTGTGGTGATTACTCTAAGTATGCTAATGACTTTTTCCAGCCATGTGGTGAAGTATTGTCACTTCAGTATGGAACAGCACCAAGCTCCATTATTGCGGAGCACTGCTGTTCCATCAATGCGAGACCTGTGCTTGAAGGAAGTTGCTAAGAACCTTCAGGGCAATATCCCAGACAAAGTACAAGAGTTGCTGTCCCATCTTCCACCTGATGAGGCAGTGGAAGCTCTTGACCAGGCTCTTTCATCATCTGTGAGTAAATGTTGTACTATTGATCACATTGTTTTGTGGAATTACGATCTAGTCCACAAAATAGACATGCATTTGTTGGCAAATATTTTATTTATTCCATCTTTTACTCAGACATTATGATGCAGATTTGTGATGCTAGGTATTTCAAGTAAAAGGGTGTATCATTATTAATGTGCTGGCAAAGATAATCGTGAATGATCGCCCATTGAAATCCATTGTGAATTATCTTGTGACATGGCTGTGCGAATTTTGCCAGGTAACGCCGACGGGCGTTTGTCCTTACCGGCTGTTGCTGCCGCGTCCCGGCGTCCTGCTACAGTCGTCCCGGCTCCGCGGGAACCTGCTGCGCATCACCAGGGTAAGGGGGCGTGGTGTGCGGAGGGGGAGCAGGAATCGAGACCAGTCGGCGCAGTGTGTTGAGCAACTCGTGTGTGTGGGGGCCGGGTCGCAGGAACGACTCCGGAGTAAGAGTCAAGGGGGCGTGGTTCGCAGGATGAACTCCGGGTAGGTGGTCGTGATCTGCAGACTCGTCTCCAGAGTAGGTAGGCGAGGCTGGCGGGAATAACTCCACAGTTGGTAGGCTTAATTTGTTGGGAACATTTCGTTTAGGTTTAGGAGCTTGTCGTAGGTGGTAGGGCTTTTGGGAAATTGGGCCCCGTATTGTCAGCGTTGCTGCGTGCATGTATTTACTTATTTTGTTTCTGACTTGGTCGTGTTTCTGTCATTGGTAGCATGCCTCGGCGGACGCCAGTTCACGCGTTGCCAGGGACGCGCTTCTGCTCCGGATCTGCTCGGCTGGGTCACAGACGGAACTCACTGACGTCCTCGAATTCGGTAAGACGTCATTTTAAATTTAGTGTTTGATTTCAGTCACCTTTGCATGCGTTAGTGCATTATATTTTAAGCCATTTTTAATGACCATTCACTGAGTCAGACTTCGCCAATATTCCGTAGATACCATGGAAGAGGCTTTTTTTAATGTATTTTTTTCAGGCATCGTTTGTACTAGAGGTGGCGTGGAAAGTCTTTAATTGTACTTATCATGGCATTTTCATTCGGTTTTGCTTTCGTGTAACAACTGAGGTGTCCATTTGCGTTTTCAGGGACATTCCTATGTGAAATGGGCTGGCATGAAGATGGTATGATCATTCTGGAGAAGACCTTCTCCGTCTTATGTAAAAATGTCTCCTGGCAGGTGTCTGAAATGGCTCTGGATTGTGTTCATAGGTAAGGTAATGGGGGCATGTAGTGACAACTGTTATGTTTATCATTTGTCTTTGAGTAGGAACGGTCGACATGTTGTGTTCGATTTCGTTGCGCTGTATAGGCACATTTTTGCTGAGTATTTTCCCTGAAGACCATGTGCACTTACCGGTGAAGGTGCACATCCTGGTTCATAGTTAGATACACTTAATCATTTTTATCCAAACGTTTCATATTTTTATTATAATTTTTACTGGATAACTTTAATCTCCCTCGTTATCGTATTATATGCATAACTTTGCATGTCCTGTTAAAAACGCTGTACGAGTATATTCACACGTCGTCACCAAGCGTTATTACATCACACCGCCCCTCCCTCCTCCCCCGCACATTGGCACCCTCTCTCTGCCCCTCCCTCCTCCCCCGCACATTGGCACCCTCTCTCTGCCCCTCCCGCAGACAGCTGGCGGCGGAGACTGCCGTAGGTCGGGTGGGTGCCGCCGGGTGGAACGCCGGTCGTATGGCCTTCCTGAACGATGCGGGACTGGGCCTCCGGTCTGGTCTGCAGTCGGCGGCGGCGGCGGCCCAGGCGCGGCTCGCTCTGCTCACCGAGAACTGGCCCGCGGTGAGTGGAGTGGACCCGCCAGCGTGCGCCACGTCCCCAGCGGGGTGCAGCTGAGGGATGACGCGGTAAACGTCAGCGGCGCCTAGAGCTCAGCAATGGACTGAGGTAGCTACTTGTAACAGGTGTCGGTATTATATGCCGCAGCTGTTATTGCTCATTAGGAATGATGATTTCTACGAAATAATTTTGCTATCGGTGTCTGGCATTGCGGTAATAGCCGCAGCGCCAGATCTTTGCCACTTTCTTCTCGTGAATTCTCTGATCTCCCGTAGATATCATAGTTCATTCCGAATCATCATCTTATGTCGAGCCAGCCCTGTCTCTGTGGTTAGGCGCTTCTACAGCATCGGAGGCTCACGTTGACTTCACCTTCAGGCGCTGCGGTGGCTGGTCGTCGCTCTGGACTCCGTGCCGGCGGCAGCGCCCGCTGACCTGGCTGCCGAGCTGCCCCGGCTGGTGGCTGAGCTCCTGCTGAGCTGCGGCTGCACGGCGCCGCTGGTGGAGCTGGCACCGCAGGCTCTCAGCGCCTCCTATCGGCACTGGGGCCAGCTGCACCCGCAGACCCTGGCCGCCGCCCGCGTGCTCGGCGACTTCGCCCTGCTCTCGGGGTTCAGCGGCCGAGCAGATGATATCAGCCAGGTGGGGTATTCCGGAGTGGTGGATCAGCTACAGCTGTGTCAGGATCTTCAGGCTTTGACTGCCTTGCCAATTGAACCTGATGTCCGGACGTGCCGTTTGATAATATTTTGCGTGGTCTTTATGGCTACATCTCATGGTTCCGCATCGACGTTATTGGGTAGAATTAACTTATCTAATGCTGCTGGCAATATAAAAAGAAAAGCTGAGTGCAGATTAAGCACTCCAACGTGTCAGGTACACAAGGTAACATTTTCAAATAAACACGATCCATATTTTAGTCGATAAATGTACCACAAAGTTACATGGAGACTAACAATCCATATTTAGCCCCGTCTAACCCCCAGTCTCTCCGTCCCTTCCGTCTGTGACGGGCCTCCCGTCTCCTCCCCCTTACTCAGATCTGCGGCCGGCTGGGGGAGCAGATGTATGCAGAGTCCAGCCCCCTGCGGCATCGGCTGAGGCTGGACCGGCTGCTGCTCGAAATGAAACTGGCCGCCGCCGACCCTCCCGAGGACGGCTCTCACAGGTGAGATGGGACCCGAGGACGGCTCTCACGGGTGAGATGAGACCCTCACGGGTGAGACGGGACTCTCAGGGGCTGGTCATAACTCTCACGGGAGAAACAGGCTCAGGGGAGAATTGAGATGGGACTATCACAATTCAGACGAGACTCTTCGATAGGACGTCCTGTCTCGAGGTTCCTTTCACGGGACGTGAGACTGAATTCTTATCGGTAACATTTGACGGGATCTCTTCCTAACTCCCGAGGCCCCGACACACTAACCACTCTCAATCACGCTAACCACGGCCCCCTGCCCCGGTCAGCGGGCCCCAGACGGAGCGTCCTGCCACGCTACAGCTACCCAGTCACAGCTGCTGGACCATTGACCTGACCCTGGCCGACTGTCAGTGGGTGGACGACCAGCTCCCGCTGCTGCTCAATTCGCTCAACGGCTTCAGTGAGGGTAGGTGGGCTGGGATAGTCCGGAAACGCCGAGCCCTCGTAGGCCGGACACTAGATCTGTATGTCTGATAATGTGTAAGCCATAAGGGATACCGTTGTGAAAGGTTCGGCTTGTGATATTTTATTGCTCTATTCTCTATTCTCCAATGACCTGGTATGTAATTGCATGAGTAAATGTGTGCTTAATGCTATTCCAGTTCTGCCTGGTGCCCCTCCGTTCACCTCTCTCCTGTCCCTGACAGCGGCGCAGCTGGGCGTTCAGACTTACTCTCGTCTGCGCGAGACGGAGCGCCTGTGTGAAGAGCTGATCGGCCCGGCCAGTCTGCGGCTGAGCAGGGTACTGACCCAGCTGGCGCGGCTGCTCCTCAACCTGGAGCTGGACCAGCTGCTGCCCAACACGGTCAGTACCGGGGCTAAAGCCGCTCAGCGGGAACCAGAGCCGTGGACTCCACTGGTCACCGGAGGCGGAGACATTATAGCCTCTACCCAGGAGCTAGGCTATAGCCTGCACCGGGGACTGACATAATCATAGCCGCTCCTGACACTGGGCCCACAGCCTTTACGCCTCTACAGGGACCGAAGCCAGCATAAATCAGGCTCCGCAGAAAAAGAAACAGTGCATATCGAGAATAATATGTTTTTTTTTTCTCCTCTGCTTTGTTCACACGTTGTTGTCTTTACACGTCTTTCCGTCCGGTGCCGATCAATTTCCGTGCCGCGCCCACCTGTGTCCCAGATCTCGTGCGCGCCTGAGGCGGAGACGCTCCTGCGGCGGGCGCTGGATATCCAGGCGCAGCTGGGAGTGCCGAGCGACCACCGCGACTCGCTGGTCACCCGGCTCACGCTCGCCAGCCTGCACACCTACTCGAGCACGCAGTACCTGCTGGAGGCTGAGCGACTGATGAAGGCCGCGCTACGAGACTGCCGTGAGTGGGGGGTAGGGGATCGGCAGCTTGGCCGGGGCTAGCAGAGGAGGCAAGGGATCGGCAGCCTGGCCAGGGCTAGCAGAGAAGGCGAGGGACCGGCAGCTCGGCTGGGGCCAGGTCTGCAGAGGAGGCGAGGGACGGACAGCGAGTTGGTAACCCTGTGGAAGTGTGGGATACACCCAAACTAGTCTGGATAATAGTTTTGATCTAGTGCTGCATGCGTTATCGGTATTACTTACGCTTTAGCGGTAGAAGAATGGCCCTTAGGTAGTTTTTTATAGGTGTGAGGAGTTAGAAATGATTGAACAATTTGGGCACACGCGTGATGCACGTTAGAAGTAGACCAGAATGGCGATGGCAGTCTGCCCTAAATGAGCCGAACAGACGAACCTTCTCGGTTGTTGGAAGTGCGTCTAGGGTGCCAGTCCACTGATACACCCGGTATCGCTCAGGGTTCCAACGTCAGGACTTACACCTAGCTCATGTCCAACTGGCCAGCCACATTGCCCGCCAGTTGTCGTGGAACTGGCGCTAATTTGACGCATCTTAACCGCTGGAGGCCGTGATATGGCCGGTTAGGTCCTGACCGGTCGTGTATGCTGCCTCCTATTTAGGACAATCGCCGTGTGGCTCAAAGGAGGCCGAGCTGCTAGTCATATGTTGGTAGGGATCGGGTGATTTATATTACGGTGGTGCGGGGCCTTGTAACCCTGACGATAGCGAAAGCTGCATTAATCAATTAGATGAGACGTACAGAAGTCATGATGCAAACCGTGGAGCTTGGTGATGATTGAGGATATGAGATAATTATTACCAGTTTATTTTTTTTTCCAAAAGCCGGCACCTTGGTGACGTTAAGCCGTCTTTGCACATATTTTTGTGTCTGAAATTATCTTCGACGCAATGGTTTCAGTTAAAATGCTGAAGTTTTTCTACAGCTGACTTCCAGGCGATGCCACATGCCTTTTAACTGCTAGTTTCTTTAGTCAGCAGCGCCAGAATCCGTAAGTAGCATCTGTAGTCGCTGCATGCAGTAGTGTTAGTTGGATTTAACACACCCACCTCCCCGCTCGGGCCCGTGGTAATAACTGCCCTCCCCGTACGTGTTCTCTGTGTGTGCGTCCCAGACGGCGGCGGTCACTGGCGGCACCTGGATCTGGCCGAGCACTGTCTGCGCGGCCTGTCGGCCATCTACGCGCGCCACGAGGACGCCCAGCGCGCCGCCGACATGGACGACCTGCTGGAGACGGTGCAGGCTCTGCGGCGCCGGCTCGCCGCCCAGAGGCTGCCGCCCGAGGGACTGGCCGCCCTGCTGCCGCCGCGGCCCTGGAGCCAGCGCGAGATGAGGCAGCAACTCATGGCGGCGCTCCGACGGGTGGCGACGGTGGTGCGGCCCGACAAACTGACAGTGGTGACGCCTCACGGACTGACAGTGGTGACTCCTGAATGACTGACGATGACGGTGGTGACACCTGAATGACTGGCGGTGATGACACCTGAATGACTGACGGTGGTGACGCCTGAATGACTGGCGGTGGTGACACCTCAATGACTGACGGTGGTGCTGCCTGCACGGCAGCGGCCCAGTGTCGGTGTGCAGGGTGGCTCCGATGGAGTGTGGCACATGTAACCAGTGAGCTTGATCGTGCCAACGCTGTACCTTTGCTTGTCTTATGATATTGAACTCCATAATAATGATGTGCTGTTGATCCACGTGAAAAATCTGTTAGCACAATGTGCAGCACCGTCCAATATCTGTGAACGCGCCAAACGTATCCAAGTTGGGAGGAACCCGGCCTCCGTAAAGCGTGGTGGCTCCGTTGTTATTTTATACAGACGGGTCGCAGGTTGTGATATCTATATGTGATCGCGTTTTTACTGGAGATGTGATGGCACATTCCGATGTCACATACTGAGCTTGCTGTTAGATGTTTATAGAGATGTCTGTTGAGTGTAATGTGTAAGGATCGCGCCGATGGATATACTGCGGGTATGAGTCGTCGCCATCTGTGATTTAGTTGTGAGATTCGCGCTGCCAATATTATGAGAATGGCACTGTAGTGCCTGCTTCCCTGGATGCCGCGATGCGAGCCTGTGTTAAGATTAGCGAGCCCTGCCAGCCAGCGGAGTTGCATGGATCCAGCCGCCATATTGTTGATTGCTAGGGAACTGTGTCAGTCATTCGTACTACAGTGACTGCAATCAGCTCCCCTCGCGCTGCCTCCATTACGCCGGTACTCAGTTGTCATTGCTGTGGTCTGGAATCGGGTACGGGATGTGGACCATGGTCCGGAGGACCGCACCGCTTCGCTGTGCCGAGCATGCTGTGCGCAGAGACCTGCTTAGTAAAAATGTGCTTTCGCTTTGTTGATTTATTTGCTTTATTGTTTGTTTAAGGTGAAGTCGAAGTGGCATATATTTACGTTCGTTCTTCGTAATATGTTTGCGCTGTCTGCGCTGTTTGTCTATACACAATGTCTAATCAAGACTTGTTATTGGCCTAGGCCAAAATTAATAGCTTGATGAATTATGTTTCAAGCAGGCTGGAATAGATACGTGTATAAGCGCTTGATGCTTGTGAAACTTTGTTTGGCTATGCCATCCTTCTGCATCACTGTTACTCTTTTATCAAATGGGATTTTCATTGGTATTGTATTACCCTATTCTTCTCTTTACAAGCTGCTGACTTATATTTCTTTGCATGTATTCTTTGTAAGACTTCCTCTTTGCTCATTCCAGCTTCAATTAGCCTAATCTGCGTTGACTGTAGTCTGTAGCCAAGTCTTCCTACCTTCTGAAAACAGACATTCTGTGAGAAATTCTGAGTTATAGAGTTTATCAATAACTATAGGCATGTGTCTCATGTATAGGGCTCGGATTTCGGAACACACCGGTCTTCTTGAATCTTGTGCACTCCTCCGTCCGCCGGAGCTACGGTCTTCGAACGACGAGTGAATGGGGATGCCGGTTGTCCCTTGTCTTGGCCGATGAAACTTAGCGCTGAGCGCATGTTCTGGTCGGTGATCGCTGTCCGACCAGTGCAGTGGGCTGGGCTATCTGTAAGCATCTTGGGCTGGGCCAGGCTGGGCTACGCCGGGCATTCGTCTTGGAGTCCTGGGGGCTGGGGCTGTCTGGGATGATGCACTTACGGCCTAGGAAGGCGCATTCTAAGCTTGGTTGGTGGGTTGGTTGGCTTTGGCGCCATATCCGGTGGATCAAGTGCTAATCGGAACTCTCACGCTGTTCCAAGCGGCCAGGCAGCGGCAACGCCACGTGCATTGCCCGGGAATCGAATCCGGATGCCTTATTCTAAGCTTCCATGACGCTTCATGTTTTGTATGTCTGATCCAGGTCTGCTGATCCAGTCTGATCTAATCGGTTCAGGACGCGGGACGCGATGCCCAAATGTCTAACTGCTTATTCTGGAAACCGAAAGCCCACCGATCTTCTTTGGTGAAATGGAGTTCTACCCTTGGGTGAGATGATGCCATGTAGGTATCTACAGTTCTGATAGGACAGAAAACGTCTTGGTGGTGAACGAGTTGACATATGTGCCAATTTTCCAGTTGTGATATTGGATTGCAGCCATACAGTTTGAGTTGTCTATTTATTAAGCATTCACCATACTTTCCTCACCACCCAGTTCGCTGCTGTCATGCATATGGGAACGTCAGCCGCGAGCGAACAATTTAGTAGCCGACAGTTTTCTGCTACGCGTTACAATTCTCGCGCATCTGGTTCGATTTATTTGTCAAGTGTTGAATTGACGAGGTTAGGGTGGTTTTGCGTTTAATTTTCAATTTATATTTGATTGTGCTGCGTTGCATTGGGTCTTTTTTGGTAAGTTGACTTGTTACTTCAACTTGATATGATTTGAGTTAATGACAGCTTGTCTACAAGATGTAAAAGCAATGCCATTGTCACCAAGAAGTGTCATATTCTCTGGTCGATTTATTGGGTTGTTCTTATTTAATTTTATGCTAGAGACTTAATGTTTTGACTCTTAAATAACGATAATATATTGAGTAATGTGCTGACCGTTTTGGACAGAACTATAAAGATGGTCAAAGAGGTAAATTAACATGCTTCTTAAAACATCCGCAGTGCACACCCCAAACTCTTAATTTATGGATTTTAGGTGGCCTGATGATTGTGCATGATGATATTGGTCATGCAATAAAAGTGACAAGAACTTGCATTTCTCTACTTTTAGTCAAATTATTTTGATGGCACATGTTCCAGTTTAAAAGTTATGAGTTTTAAAGTTTTTGTTTCTTGTTGGATACAGAATTCAAAATTGTTTACCTATTAACCTATTTAGAAATTGCGGCTTTGCTCCCAACTAATGTTTCTAAGCCCTCTGGATATTGTTCACTTTAAAATGAAATAGTTGGCTTAAGCTATATCCTTTTGCTTGCATAAATATTGTGCTATTTCTTCATCATTTTCAGTTCTTTCAACATCCATTCTGGTGCTAATCAACCCACAATTTTTAGGTACCTATCTGTGCACCATTAGAATCTAACCTGGACTCATTCTACCCCACAGGTGCCAATATGACTGTTGTTACCTCAGACAGCAAAGAGCCAACAATCAGTGGGACTGTGGCATCTGCAGCACAACAGTCAAACACTGAAAACCATGAGCTGTCAGAGGGAAATACTGAAGTTATGCAAAGCAATGCCACTTCTGTCGGCCAAGAGGCAGACACAGATGTCACTATATCACCTGACCTTCCAGACCAATCACTAGCTCCTCAGGTACCAAATGATGTGACCAAGTTGTCTGGCAGTGATAACCCCAGCACAGAGACTGCTGCTGGGGGTAAATATGAGGACCATGAAGCTGCTGATGATGATCAAGAAACTGAGGATCCTGACGCCGCCTGGAAGGAGCAGAAGCGCCGCCTGCTGTTGACGCACCTCTCTGCCGAGCCCCCGGACGTGGAGGCGCTCCGGGCGGGAGCTGTGTCGCGCGGCGGCCTGCTGGACGACGCGCTGCGCCGGCGCGTCTGGCCGCTGCTGCTGCGCGCCGACCGGCCGGTGGACTGTGCGCCGGACGGCGAGATACCCCTGCTGACCGGGGAGGAGGTGCGCGCCCACCCCTACCACCATCAGGTGGTGCTGGACGTGGAGCGAACCCTCAAACGGTTCCCGCCCGGCATCGAGGACTCGGTGCGGTTCGGCATGCAGGAGAGCCTGGTGACGCTGATCGTGCGCTCGCTGGCCGCTCACCCGGAGTTGCACTACTACCAGGGCTACCACGACGTGGCCATCACCGTGCTACTGGTCTGCGGCGAGCCGCTGGCGCTCGACGTCCTCTGCAAACTGGCCGGGCGCCACCTGAGTGTGTTCATGGCACCGAGCATGGACGAGACCCGTGACCTGCTGACGTACGTGCTGCCACTGCTGGAGGCCCGCGACCCGCCTGTCTGCGAGTTCCTGCTGCGATCCGAGGCGATGGCCACGTTCGCGCTCTCGTGGCTCATCACGTGGTTCAGTCACGTCCTTCCCGAGTTCTCGCTGATCACGCGTCTGTTTGACTACGTGCTGGCCACCAGCTGGCTGGCGCCCGTCTACCTGACGGCGGCCGTGGTGCTGCACCGGCGGGACGAACTGCTGGCGGGCGAGTGTGACCTGGCGGCGGTGCACAGCCTGCTGGCCGACATCCCCGACCACCTGCCCTGGGAGGACCTCATGGAGAGCGCCACTCTGCTGCTGCGCGAGCTGCCGCCCGAGTCGCTCCGACCGCGGGTGGACGCGCTGAACCGCGCGCGGCGCCAGAGCGAGGAGGAGGAGCGCGAACGGATGCGGCGCCGGCGGGCCGCGCTGCAGAGGCGGCGCATGGTCGAGTCATGGGTGCCGCCGCGCAACTGGACCGCTGTCGGACTGGCCATCAGTGTGGCACTGCTGGCCGGCGCCGTCCACCTGTGGAGGGCCAAGATGGACTGACGGACCACTGGGCACGGCTGACCTGCAGTCGACTGTCCTGGGACGGCGGCCGTCCGACGGTGGACCCGTCAGCGGGCGGGGATGGTGAGTGGGGTACCCTACCGCCGTCAGTGGACCAGTGCCTAACGTTTCTGCCGTCTTGGGGGAAACGCAACTTTTCTGCGAGTCGGATTCTCAAGAGCGTTGTCTTTGTCGTCGATCGCTTGGGGACTGTTGTTTAGAGGTGTTGGCTGTTGTAAGCATTCTGTGGGACCTGTGATGGAGCAATGAGCATGTATTGTCTCGCTCCTATGTGTTGCATGGTATATGCTAGTGGAATTATCAAGTGCAATTCCTTATGCGAGCATTAATAGGCGTAGTTGTCGAGGGCAAGCTTTCCGTAAGAGACCTACCTGCAAACGTTTCTAACAAGATTTTCAGTGTGTTGTTGTTTCTTTCGAATACGTTTATTTAAATTGAAAATTATTTCAGTTCTAGCTGTATTGTTCAGCTAAGACGTTTTCCTTTTAAGGAGAGTTCGGGCTTTCGTTGATAATTATTTGTCACTTCGTTTGCCTTATTGTGAAGGTACAAACAGCCAGTTCAGTTATGCTCACGTACCCTGTATACTCGTCATCAATCTCTGAGCTGCGACCAATGTGTTAGGGTCCTTGTGCCGTTTATACTTGCTCCCTTGAAGGGACACGTTTGTCATGACACCCTGTCCTGCTCTTCCGATGTGTACTTCCGTGAAGATGTAGGTATATTGCTGGGAGATGTTGTTTTCCCGAGTTTTGCTTTGCGATTTAAATGTGCATCATCCAGCCGGGGAAATGTTAGCCAGATTGTTACATTATGTGCTCTAGTCAAAGATACACACGACGCGACATCTTTTGGTTAGAATGGGTCCAGATTGTCGCTGTTATATATTTGGAGCCTGTTGAAGGTGAAATGTCTATATTGGGAGTCATGATTCCTTGAAAATATATTGTATTTATGGACGTCTGTCTTTTCAGGTCTCATTGGGGCTCACGTGACCCTCGCCAGCGACGTGTGATAGGCAGCTTATAGGAAGCTTCGTCTGCATGTTGTGCCGTACCTTGTGACATGGTTCAAAATTAGCACTAGCTGAACTAAATTGTGCTGCATCTTGTCAGAGTCTTACAAAACCTAGATTTTAAAAAGGCTCACATGCTCACATTATTGATATGTGAAATGTGTCAACAAACTTTCGGGACACCCTATAGGCGGCGTGCGGGGGCAGGCACGGGAGAATGTGGGATGAACGCTAAAAGTGGGGCTGGAACTGGCGCATCGACAGTTACAGTGGTGCGTTATATAACATTGGAACTACATTACATCCACAGCAACACAGCGATATGTTCAATAAAACCAGCTTACCTGAGGCCTGAGGGAGATGTGCCCGCACAAGTAAACGTCAAGTTGTCTGCATGTTAACTCAAAAACGTCTTGTTCAGTCACTCACTTGACCATTGATTTTCTTGACACTGAAATTACCCGACAAAATTACCCTCCACTCAAAAACGCGTCCGTAATCATATGCCTCTCTATATTTGGAGCCCGTCGGTCTCGTGCTTCCATCACTATTCTGGGTCGTGGCATTGGATTCACTCCGTCACGTGATGGCACCATGGAGAGCCTAGCCAGGGCCGGGCCCAGTCACATGACTGCGACCGGATGGCCTTGACGGGCGCCACGTGGTGGGGCTGCACGTGTTTGGTACACGTGAGAGGGACACCCCGGGGTGCAGGCAGGCCCACAGGTGGCTGGAGTCGGGACGGGCTCGTGGGGTCGGGCCGGTCGGCGAGTTTCCTAAGTGTGGAACTATTCATACCGTCGCCCGTTCGAGTGACGTCATCACTCGGCGCTGGCGGCTAGGTGCATGGAATGGCGGGTCCTTAAGTTGGCGAAGAGGCGGAGCCAGTTATCCTGCGTAAATATTTAGTCAGTCTTAATTTTAGCGAGTTCCCTAGCTAGAGAAAAAGTAACTTGTTCTACGTGAATATAAAACCGGTTTAATTGTCACAGTTTTGTCATACATGGGACACATGGTTATTTATATCTTCGCGTATGGATTGCTTCACACTGCGCCGAATATTGTGTTAGTCGATTAAGTGTTCATATATGAATATGTGTGAAATTGTATGCATGTGTGCGTCTGTATGTGCTATGCCACCGTAATGCCCACTGTTCTGTGGTTGGTGGATGTTTGACATAATAATAATAATAATAATAATATCTCCTACGAGGTGCTTGAGTTTTGACGGTGTGGTTTGTGCACTGCGTTTCGCTTCAGCATTGAGCAAATGTCTTCAGTATTACGGCTGGTAATACTGCCTATCGGCGTTGAATGATCAATAGGACATAAATAAGCAGGTAGTGCGAATTTATTATTAGCAGATTTATTAGCGAGATTATTAGCAGATTTATTAGCGGATTTATTATTTATTTTATTAGCAGGTAGTGCGGAACTATAGTGCGGATAGTGAGTGACGCCATCTGGACCGATGCTGGAGATGGTAGCGCCACCTGCCGCCACTTAACTGCTCGCTACTTGTAACAGTGCCTGGCTGGTGCTTTGTGTGGATTGTTTGAAGCGTAGTGTAGTACCTTATGACGCATAATATAAGGTCACTTTGCATTTTGCAAAATGTGAGGAGCATGGACGAATTAATTTGTCAGACATTGACGCCTTAGTAATACATAATTGTTCCCAACACAAGCTATGCATTAGATTTTAATGTAAAATTGCTCAACTTCCCATAATAACACCAGGGGCGCTAGTGCCGCGCGCCGCTAGCCTATAATCGTGCAGCGATTGGTCAGCCGACTGTGAGCCATGACGTCAAAGCCTGTGACGTCATCTCGGCGAAGCTTGCGCCAATCATAGACCTTAGGTATGGGCAGTTCCACACTTAGGAAACTCGCGGCCGGTCGGTGTAAATGTGAGACGGGAGCGGAGAAGGAGCGGGAGGGCAGGGTGCTCCGTGCTTCTGGTTCCTGGGTGTCGGCGTGTTTCTTCAGATCATTTACGGATCCCTGATCCAGAAAGGTGGTTTGGGATGCTACAGGACCGGCATACTTTCCAAATAGGTTATCAAGTTTGCAAAGATTCCTCGGATCTCGCTTCCTTGTAATGCATTGCTGCGAAACTTAACGCACGCCCGTATGGGGGGGGGGATCGAACGGACCCCCTCGGTTTTTCGCAAATGACTCGCTTAAAAAGCTGCCGATCGCGACGAAACTTTCAGTACCCTCGTGATAATCAAGTTTACACCTACCCTGAAAATTTCATCACCCTGACCCAAATGACCTTTGACCTGTGACCTACTTTTCGAGACTATGGTCGGTCGGAATCGCGATTCGGCGTATGGCGATCGCATTAGCCGCGCGTTTGCAGTCTTTTCGTGGTTTCAAGCGTTCAAACACGTGATATGGTGTTGCTCCCATCCATTAGGATGGTTGTCAAGGTCACCTGAAGGTTTGGTCAGGTCATTGACCTTTGGTGACCTTGGTTCACTTTTTCAAGTTTTATATATTTTTATGCTAGTTTTTGGAGCTGAAATCGAATTTAGCAACCATTTGAACATTTCCGAAGTAGTTTTGGTGCCTTCGTAACATGTTACGAAACTGTCAGGCGGTTGACAGTTGACACCCACTACGAGTACCTACCCGCAGGACACCTACTGGTTGACCTGGCCTGACCTGACCCGACCCGGCCTAAATGCATGAAGACATCATCATTGATAAAAAACTAACATGATATTCGTGATCACCACCCCGAAATACCCCATAGCAGCTACACTTTACGAAGTTCTAACAGGTCCCGATTTTCCCGACTTTTGGGTCATTGACCTGACCTGGAAGGTCAACCGATGACATTGGACCTTAAAGGAGGGTATCGTCGGCTTCCTCTCGTCACAGGCAACACGCTCGTTTTTTTTTCTCGCGAAGCTCTAGCTCAATGAGGGGCTAAACGGCGGGGGGGTCCAATGGACCCCCCCTTTTACGTTTGCGGCTGGCAAAACACCAATACGGGCGAGGGTTAAATCAAGCTCTCTCAAATCAGATGTTAGTGAATTGTTTCGTGCGAAGAACACGCAAACTTTCAATTTCGAACGCTACAAGACGGGCTATTCTCTAAAAGGTCTTCTGGGTTCGCTAATGCTGCATTTGGTGTTATTTGGTAAATGAATTTGGTGCCCTATGGTATCTGTAGTAGATCAGGTCAGGATAGGTACTTGATGTGATGTAGGTGTAACATTTTGACAATTTTATTGCTTTATTTTGAAATATCGAAGATCATTAAAACACCCATCTGTGATCTGACGGCATTACAATTATAACCGTTGAAATCTGATTTCCATTGAGAAACTGGAACTCACGAAATCATCTCCAATCAGTGTGAAGCAAGAGTCGCAATTTTATTTTCTCAAAAATGGTGTTCATCTTTCGAGGCATTTTAGACATTGAAACGTTCTTATTCTGTTGTGTACCCGAGTTTCCTCGATTCTTTGGCTATAGTGAAGCCAGCATGTCAAGTTCGCTTAGCATGTGATTTAGCTTCGGGAATTCATTCAATCAAAGCATTTGGATGACACGAAAAACACATGGCAATAAAACTGATGAGATCTCGCCTTTAATTCATGATTGGCGTCTGGTCCTAGACAGAGACATCAGCAGCGGCTGTTTAAAACACACCCACTCACTTCGCTGGCTCCCGGAACAAGCTCCTATTCACGAGGAACATAACAGAGCACCAGGGCCTGCGGCCGAATACCGGCGCCCGGCCAGCCGCAAAAACGGCCTCGATCATGAGGCGGCCATGCTGGAGGAGCGTGGTGCCGCCGCCGCGTCCAGCGCCCGCGGCGGCTAGCGCGGCCGCCGAGCGTGGCCGCCGGCTGGTGCCGCCGCGCTCCGAGCTGAGCTGAGGAGGCCGGCGCGGGCCGGGGCGCGCCAGGTCGGCTCGTCCTCTAGGTGCCCTTGCCGGGGGCTCGGTGCCGGGCCGGCCGGCCTCCCGTCGCGGCCGATCCATCTGCGCCGGCCGGCCGGCCGCATCAGGTGGCTGTTCGGGCCGGCGAGCGGCGCGCCAGAGTCCCAGTCTGCCCGTTTGGGTCGGGGCTGCCGTGTCGTAACTGACGGACGGACGCGTCCGCAGGGCCGCGGCGTGTCGTAAATGTGCTGCTCGGCTGGCGGCTGGTATCGCTCATGGTGCACGTGGCTCGTGGTAATTGAGGCAGCTCGGGTGCCAACTGATAGGCTGCCAGTTTCACATATCAATTGTCCCTGGGCTGTTGTGGCTATTGGTTGCAATACCTGCACCACGTTAATTTGATATTAGTCAAGGGTATGCTACCTATCATTCCGGGTATCATCATCATGCATGGTGATCTGCATTTAGGCCTGAATGGCCAGGATAATGTATAGGTTGTTTTGAACGGCGCTTATCCCTCTCCCCGGCCATTTTCATCTCTCCATTGCACTTGGCTTCCTTACATACCTACGCACGTCACGCTGAGAAGTTTGTTTGCCTGTAAATTATGATCTCGCGGCTGTTGTTTGAGGCGGGAAGCGCCCTTTGCATCTGTTGAACTGACCTGAAAGAGAATATTCAGGAGCTGACACTTTTTGCTCTTGTTTTGACATAACTACGTTGAAGAGAGGACTAGTACAGTTACTACAGTAGGTAAACAACAACGTAACTAAACCAGTATAACGCCTTTTGGGGCGACTAACGGAGCGAGCGAGAGGGTGGGCCTTGCACGTGCGAAATTGCGAGGGGGTACCTCCAACTGACTTGTGCACGGCACCCTACTAACTGGTCTCTAGCGATGTGCCAAATTTGGACACAATCGGCCCAGCCGTTCTCGAGATTTGGAAGCGGCATCCTGCACGTGCGCACGTGCAAAATGGGTCCCAACTGACTTGTGCACGGCACCCTACTAACCGGTCCCTAACCGTGTACCAAATTTGAGCGCAA